AGAGAGATCTCTCTGTGAGTAGTCCTCTCTTCTCTCTCCTGAGTGAGTCTCTCCTCTTCTGAGAGTGAGAGGCTCTCTCTCTCTCTCTCTGAGAGTGAGAGGCTCTCTCTCTCTCTGAGTGAGAGGCTCTCTCTCTCTCTCTCTCTCTCCCCCCAGACACACTTGGATGATGCTGACATCAGGGACCATCACCTCAGTACTTCTTGTTCTTCCTTACGCTGAAATTTGGCTGTTTGGCGTCCTGCTGCAGAATACCTTGTTCTTGCACCAGGGCACCAAGAGAAATTCCTTGTTTATGTACAAACTTAGTAACAACGTGATTGTGTTTTCCTAAATGCACTGATGCATTCCTCTCTCTCACCTGCCCTGCAGTTCTGCCTCAGGACTTGAAGCTGGAGGATGCTCTGGATGATGCAGACAATAAACCACGTAAGCACAGTGAAACACCACTCAGCTGTTTCTGGTTTAAAACTCTCACCGTAACCTAACGAGGTGCACGTTTGACACAAGTCCGGGTGACCAGCTGTTCTTCTGTGTGTGGGCGTTTCCCTCGTCCAACATGGCCCCAGTTTAAAGGCATCAGTTGATGCAAGATTAGCAGACAGAGCTGCACCAACAGCTACTGTGATGGAGAAACTGAGTACACAAGATGACATGATGTAATAAAGTCACATTTCCATTTCTGGTTATTGTATGAGCTTAGTTAGTTTCATTGGAATGAAATATGCTGTATTTGTCATAAGATTTGTGTCAAGCCTGCAGTTAGATGCAAATTTGAGGCTGCCTCTCAGTGTCAGTGATATTACTGTATATATGATCCACAAGCATAAAGTCAGATATGTGTGCAACCTTTAAGAGCTCCAATCCAAACACAAACTGATGCCAACACACCTGAAAGGGAATCTGAATAAAAACCGATCATATATGCACAAGTTTAAAGTTCAGCGTTTCCTCTTTCAGACAACTTCCTGTGTGTACAAATGCCACCATTACATTTGACTTTTACTTTTCTCTTGGGATCACAAACAAATGACTAAAATCTTACCACACAAATGTGTTAAATGTCTACAGCTTTGAGACTGTGGAGATGTGGTCTGCAAAGCTGTGTCTGTCCAGCAGCAGAGCGTATTCAGTGCCTTTGTTTTCCTCTATATGGAGCTTGTTTCACCATTTTGGATGCCAGACACTCTGTGAGCACCCAGCAGCACCAGTGAACCTGCTGGTAATGGCTCCGTGAGGCCTGAACAGTCCTGATCCCCTAAAGGAACTGGTCCCAAACACCTACAGCACAGTAACCTGGACTGGCTCCATATTGGGCAGAGTCAGTGTCAGTCCTGTACTGCTGGATGAAACCCAGCTTCAGACTATTTCAGCTCCATCACTTAGAGATGTTTACATTTTTCACAAATGAAAACTGTAAGATTTTACTTATTTGTTCATGATTTGAAACACGCAGCCAGTCAGAAAGGTATCTAGTGTGACTGAATAAATAAACTGTGATTATCTGCTATCATCTCATGAGTGATGGCAGTAAACATATTGACCATTACATGTTATTCTGACTTGTATAACAGTGACACCAGCACCTACAAAAAAGCAAACAGCACCATCAGGAGGAGCAGGCGGAGGTGAGAACTTTACAGCATCTTGGCACCGAGTCATTTTAGGTCTGAATAAATGTGGGACAAGAAAATCTGTGCGCTACAACAAATCTGATTGTAACTGTGTGTTGTTGTTTTTTTCTCTTCAGACTTTAAACTGGAGGATTTCTTTAACGATGTCACCACCACCACCACCAAAGTCCCACCCAAGGTTTTCCCCAGGGTCCCTGCAGCCACCAAGGCCCCAGCGAAGCCCAAACCCAAGCCAGGTGAAAGAAAGCAGCCCAACTCCCCTCCTGAGGCCTGTGGGTTAGCTGCAGAGCGAACGGGCTTTGTTACCTGAAATCTCAAGAGTTCAATTTTTACATCTCTGAATAAATCAGTGAACAGCAGCCACGCCCACTTCCGATTAATCAGAGCTTTTAAACCATTCGGCACGTCGAGGTTTTGGTGTAGAGAAAACATGAGAATTTTCTCACGCTCAAATATTGACTTATTTTGAATTTGAAGAACATATTAGGAGGTAAAAGAAGAATATTTTTATCTAGATTGTCTCGGCACACGTATCCAGCAGCTGAACCTGTTACTTCTTGGAAAACATTCCTAGACTGACCATGAAACCTGGTTTCCTTAGTTAGGAACGCCTGGTGGAGTCTGTGTACTGACCGTCAGTTTCCTCTTGGTAGTAGCTGGTTGTAACATGCAGACTGATTTATTTACCAGAGAACCAGTTAGTACGTTCATTTAGTTTTTAGTTTCTATTAGTTCATTGCTGCTGTAGTTATTATAATGGGGAGGGTGCCAGGAGCAACATTTAGGAAATAAAAATATTAATTCTAGAAAACACAACAGTCTCTGATGGCCGAGTGAATTCAGCTCAATGCAGTTTATGTAGCTCTCAGGCTCCCCTCACTGTGCTTTACATTTGTTAGGTAATAAATATCTAATCTTAAATGCTTATATGCTGATTACTATTGGTTTATATAAGAGAGGCCCAGACTTCAGTGTAAAACTAGCTTACAGGCTGAGCAGAAACTGCATGTTTTTTGTAGAATATGAGGAACCGACAGAGTGAGACTAAGTCTAGACAGGTTGCCCTGGCAACAGACCTTAGAAAG